CCCTGCTAATTTTTTAATATATATATATTAGTTGGCCAATTAATTTCTTTCTATTTATAGTAGAGACGGGGTCTCGCTCTTGCTCAGGCTGGTTTCGAACTCCTGACCTCGAGCAATCCACCCCCCCTCGGCCTCCCAGAGTGCTAGGATTACAGGCGTGAGCCACCGCGCCCAGCCAGAAAGGTAGATTATATGAAGTCCTCCAGTGCTGAATGTTAAAACTTCTCTCTGACCTTCAGACCACCTGTAATGCTCAGCTCCAAAACTGCAGAACATATACATATCTGCTTTCCATTCACTCCATTCCACCCAATCCCCTTTTCTCCCATTCTGAAAGGAGATTAGAAAATTCTTCCTGGAATAAACAACGGCATCAAAAACAACAAAACTGCTGGACCCTCCCATTCACACATTCAGAATTCCACTGTGTTTTTAGTGCCTCACTCCATGATCAGAAAACCAAGGCTCATCAAATTGTTGAGGAAAGCCTTCAACATGAAATTGGCAAAACAAACAGTAAAAAAGAAACTTTGAGGAACACAGAGGGAAGAAAGGAAAACAAATAAAAAGCTATAATTAATATCCTCAAAAACATAAGGATTCCATTAAAAGGAACAAGCAAAGAACAAGAAAGAACTCTTGGAAAGCAAATATTTATAACCAAAATAAAAAATTGCGATACAAACATTAGAAGAAACATTAAGAAATCTCGTAGGTAGTGGAATAAAAAAACCAAGAGGTAAAAATAGATGAGATGAGATAGAAAAATAAGAAGATTGAGAAGAGTGGAGTTTGACTAGTAAAAGTACTGCTAAGAGAAATCATAAAAACAGAGAGAAAATCATCTTATAAGTAATTCAAGAAAATAGCCAAAATGGAAGGATGACTTCCTAGATTGATAGGGTCCACAGAGTGTCCAGTGTACCCGGTGGAAAATGCCCCAACAGAGATAAATCTTTAAGAATGAAAAACAAGAAACCTGGTCCCCTACAAAGAATTGAGACTCAGAAGGGCAGTATATAAGCACTGGAAGCTACAGGACAATGGAGCAAGGCCTTCAAAATTCTGAGAAAATTCTACAGCCAGCCAAACTATTAATCAAGTGTGAGAGTAGAATTAAAATATTTTTAGATATGCAAGGCCTCAAATAATGTACATCTTTAAATCCTTTCTCAGAAAAGTACTGACAGCATGTGATACAACCAACAAGGGAGTAAACTAAAGAAGAGCAGACTTGGGTATCAGGAAGGAAAAGATAGCACGGCAAGAGAGGAGTTCGGGAAGTTCTAAGAAGAGACCTGTGCAGTAGACATAGAAAGCCCAGGTTAGAGCAAGATGGAGCCCTTCAAGAGGAGTGTCTTGCGACAAAAATTAGAACTGGAGGAATCCCTGATGTGATTGACTTTCTGAAAAATACTATTCAGAGAAAGTTTACAATTATATTGAAAAGTTGGAAACAATCAATGATTAAAAAAACAACAACTAAGCACATTTTAAAAATGAGGCAACTTTTAATTTCATGGAAATTCAAAAAAGTTTTATAATAAAGCAATTTGTAACTATAGTATATTGCTGGACATACGTAGCCCTACAATGATATAAATCTTGGATAGTGATTGAACCAAAACTTGCATATATTGTATATATGGAGGACAGAAGTAGGAAAAGTGGGAGTCTGGAGTGACATAGGGTGCTAAATCTTTATCTTCCTAATTAGGAAGTCAAAAGATAAATCCTAAAATTTGTGTATCAAAAAATATCAGCATAAGTATATTATTCAGAAATATGGAAGTAAATGTAGGAGAAACATGTTAAAATTGGAGAATGTGACTCAGGGTTAGAGTAAAATAGGGCAGTAGACTACTCTTTTTCTATTTTTTTTTTTCTTTTTAGAGATAGAGTCTCACTCTGTCACCCAGGTTGGAGTGCAGTTGCCGAATCATACCTCACTGCAACCTGGAACTGTTGGGCTCAAGCGATGATCCTCCCACCTCAGCCTCCCTAGTAGATCCTCCAGCATCTCCCTCCTTTTTTCGGTAGAGACAAAGTCTTTATGTTGCCCAGGCTAGTCTCAAACTCCTAGGCACAAGCAAACCTCCTTGGCCTTCCAAAGTGCTAAATTACAGGTATGAGGCACCACACCTGGCCCTCTTTTTCAATGGAATCTTTGTAATACTTTTTTTAAAAAAGTATCTTTATGTATTTGATTAAAAGAAGAGTATTTCCCAGAAGCCTAGGAATTTTAACTTCTATTTCTACCACAACATCTTACTGCTTAGCCATAGACATATTCCATTAAGTGCATTCTTGTAGGTATTTGGGGGTAGCTATATAGGATGGAAAATTTCTAAAAATTCAGGGGCTGTGGCTGATGTTGGAGCAAAAGTACTTGCTGCTTGCCTATTGTGTACTATTTCTCAATTTCTGTCTAAAAAAACTATTCCTATTGTATTAGTTATCTATCACTGTGTAACAAACTACCCCAAAACATAATGGCTTAAAACGATAAACATTTATCATCTTATGGTCCTGGAGTAGCTGAACTGAGTTGTATGACTCAGTCTCTCATGATGTTGCAATCAATACTAGAGTTGCAGTCATCTGAAGACTTGCCTAGGGCTGGAGGATCTCTGCCAAGATAGCTCACTCACAAGGCTATAGGCTGGAATCCTTAGTTCCTTGATGGCTGTTCTTTGCCACATTGGTCTCTCCATAGATCTCCTAAATTCCCCCAGAAGGAGTTATTTAAGGGAGAATAAAAAGGAAAGCTCACTATTTTTTATGACCTAGTCTCAGTAGTTGTACACTGTCACTTCCACATTATTCACAAGCAAGTCACTAGGTTATGGGAGGAGTGGAGGGAGAACTAGGCTCCACATCCTGAAGTGGAAAGTATCGAGGAATTTGTGTTTAAAACCACTATACATATCAGTGCTAAATTACATAAAAGTAGGTTGGGAGATTATCCCTACATGATTTTTCAAGATCCAAATCTATATCAAAATTGTTTGTTATGACATCACTTTTAATGACTCCAAAATAAGCCATGTCCTACTTTCTGGCATCTCTTCAACTCTATGGTATTTTAGATTATTTTTATTTTTATTCTTTTTTGGTCTTGTTTGCATTTCTTTTTTTTTACTCTATGATATTTTAAGTTCCTTGAGTACTGGTGACATTTCTTAGTCTTTTTTGTATCTCGGCTTACCTATCATAATGCCTGACATATTAATTCATTTGTTCAATATATATGTAGCTTTTCTACTTTCAGACACTCTGCTAGACACCAGGGATACAATCATGAGCAAGAAATAGTCACAGTCATGTTTTCCTGAGACTTATAGTCTACTGGGAAGAAAAGACACTAAACATGTAATTATGTTTATATAATTTTCAAATTAAGCTACACTTTCTGATGAAAAAGAATAGTCTTATAGTTGCATATAAAAGAGGAACAGGGCTAGTGTAGGCATGTGGAATATAGAAGGTTCATCTCAAGTTGGAATTTTGCCACATGGGTGAAAGAAGAAGAACAACGGTCAAAGGAGTTTAAAATGTTGATGAGAATAATGTTAAAATAATATATCAGTATGTGTTCATAAATATTTGTTAAATTGAACCAAACTGAATTTGTTTTTTTTTTTCTGCCTAGTCCTCTCTTCTTTACTCCTTGATGTCAGAGGTGACATATTTTGATATGGGTGGACTAGTTTGACCAGCGTAGTTGCAACTTACTGGGAGAAGGGACTATCCCTGCCCAACCCATCTTCTTTGTTTATTATATACTGCAAGATCCAGTCATATCTAAAAATATAGAATAGAATATTTATACAATACCCATAAGAATTTGAGCATCTTTTATGTGACTTTTGGTCATTAATTTACATACCTTGTCCTTTATTTGTATATATAGAATATAAATATTTAAACTTAAACATTCGGGGCCATTGGATAGGATGAGAGAAAATGGAGTCTAGTTGGAGAATTTGACTGATTTTATTGGTACAACAATTAATTGTCCCCAGGAACAATGATGGGAAGGGGGATAGAAATGGGGACCTCTATTGCAAAAATTGAAGTCATTAATACCCCATCATTGGGGTCATTATTTAACAAATGACTTAAAAGAACACTATTGAGTGCTTACTATGTGCCAGATGTTGCATTAACAGCTTTCGGCACATTATCTTATTCAATACGCATGACGATCCTATTAGTTAAATACAATTATTATACTCATTTTACAGAGATATTGAGAGATTAAGCAATTTTTACCAAATACAGAAATCTGAAAGACAGTTCTATCAGACTTCAAAGTTCCTGCCTTAGCCTACTTCAGCATCTTTGTTTATCTTGTGCACCACATCTGTGCAAACCACTTCCTTCTGGTCTCACTGGCCTCCCTCTGTTCCTAGAAGTTAAGCTTCCCACCAACCCCCAGGACCTTGCACTTGCTATCTCCTTTGTTTACTAGGTTCTTAAGTTTGTTGCATGGCTGGCTTCTTCCCATCTCAGATATCTGTCCTAAATTAATTCTTCCCATTTTTCATCGTGTTCATGTTTTATTTCCATCAGAGTATTTATTACACTCTGAAATTGTTTTTTATCTCCCACAAAATCATAAGCAGATCTATCCTTAGTACCTCATTCATTGACTGACTGAATGAATGAAATTGCCTACTTCTGTGCCCAGAAATCTTGGACAGTACTCTGAGTTATACTGGTAGGCCATCGGAGCTATTTTGAGGTATTACACATTCCCTACTTCACTTTCATCTCAGTTTATTTCTGAGCCTTTTGTGTCTTCCGGACAGCCGGACTACCGTAAATACAGAGAGCTCGTAGGGTAAAACCGGAATAACCGCGCCCCGCTATACCCAGCTTGGCCTGTAGGGGACGGTGTGGGCGGAGGACTCCTTCGGTGCATGCGGCCAGCCTACGTGAACCGAGACACAGAGGTGAAGTGGAGTACGAAGGAGGGGCCAACCGGAAGGGGCGGGGTTCTCCATGAACCCACGCCTCCGGGCAGGCTCTCCGCCCTCGCCCCGCCCCTTCCCCCGCCTGGACGGCCATGGCCTTTCCCGGCATCCCCTATGAGCGACGGCTTCTCATCATGGCGGACCCTAGAGATAAGGCGCTTCAGGACTACCGCAAGAAGCTACTGGAGCACAAGGAGATCGACGGCCGTCTTAAGGAGTGTGAGTGCACCTTTCTTTCCTCATAATCTCTTGCCTGGACTGGCTTCTGCCTCTTACAAAGTGGAAGCCTTAGGTCGAGCCCGGCAACAGAGCCTCAGAGATGGGCAGGCCTTGGTCCAGAGACAAGGCGCTTTGTCATCCGGCCCTGAGCTTGGGGAGCGGCACCCCTTCGGGTGTGGAAATGACCCAGTCCAGTCCCGGTGACAGAGAGAACATCTGCGGTTCTGAGATGGAGTGGGAAAGGACTAAAAGAAGAATGGGAAGAAGTGGGCCGGGGACGTTTCCCAGGTTGGGGTGCAAGGGGAGCGGTGTTGGTAGAGTCGCGGGACCCGGAGAGGGGAAGACACTTGAGTCGAGGAATCTCAAGCAAGAGATGAGACTCAAGGAGTTGGCTTGTTCGTGGAGTTGAAAGACGGACGCGGAGCTTAGGAGAGAAGGGGTCCAGTTGTCATAATAAGCCTTCTTGTGTTTCCTAGTGTTTCGTGTTGTACTGTGTCAGGCATACAAGTTTCCTTTATCTCCTGAGGACGTACCGTTTTTTCAAGGCACCTTCATTGAAAAGCCTTAGTGGTTTAATTAAATGAAGGAAGACTATACCATATGATTCTGTGGAGAACTGCATTTGTTGATTTTATTTAGGGTAGAAAAACAGTAATTCAGGTGGGTGGGTGAAGAAGGGTCTAACTCACTGTTTTTCATTATGATTTGTAGTCGCAAATTCGGAAGTGTCAGGGTGTCAGTATCTTTTAAGAATGTAGCTTAAAAATGCCAAAAAAAAGTAAGTATTGCATATCAAGAAAATGAAAACATAGTGCTGTCTCTGTAACATTTTGTTTTTAAACTTGTCGCCTGCTCATTACAAACAGCATTATTTCTTTTGTGGTTTGATATGGTAGATGTGAAACTTAGGTAAAGTGAAATAGATTTAACTAAACTTAAATGAGACATAGCCAATTAGATGCACTAAGATTATTCTTTCACTAAAAATGTTCAAATTATATTATTCCAGTAAGGGAACAATTAAAAGAACTTACCAAGCAGTACGAAAAGTCTGAAAATGATCTGAAAGCCCTACAAAGTGTTGGGCAGGTAGGTAATGGAATTTGGGATGTAGGGGGTTATGGTAATTTGCTCTGTTGTTTTAGCTGTTTACAAAAAGTAATGCCTATTTTTCTTCCTTAGATTGTGGGTGAAGTGCTTAAGCAATTAACTGAAGAAAAATGTAAGTGAATTAGATTTCAACTTTTGAAATGCTTGTTAGTCTATTAATAACAATAAAGCAGGGAAATGGTATTTTTGCATAGATCAGATTTTCTTTCAACTATTGTCTTTTTAGGGGAAAGAAAGAAAATAAAACCATCCATTGATGTGGATATATTTGTTTTTTACTTTCAATTTTTCAATATGTGTTTTTAATTTTTTTTTTATAGTCATTGTGAAAGCTACAAATGGACCAAGATATGTTGTGGGTTGTCGTAGACAGGTAATACTTTACATTTGTATAGTGCTTTATAATTGACAAAAGAGTTCTCATGTAAGTTATCATGTCTAATTCTTGAGGTATCAGAATTAGTGCATTATGCCTATATTTCCCAAGTGTGGTTTGTTCAGATGCAGCTAATTCAAACCATGGACTTTGACTCCTTGTATTCCCTACTTTCTACTATATTGCATTGCAGATAAGTCAGATTTACCCACTTAGAAATCCACGTATTTTTAGAACTGGAAAATAGATCAACTTACTTATTTTTTAGAGACAGGATCTCATTCCTTTGTCCAGGCTTGAGTACAGAGGTGTGATTATAGCTCACTGAAACCTTGAACTCCTGTGATCAAATGATCAGCCTCAGCCTCCCAAGTAGCTGGAACAACAGACATGCACTACCATGCCTGGCTAATTTTTAAATTTTTTGTAGAGATGAAATATCACTATGTTGCCCAGGCTGTCTCAAACTCTTGGTTTCAAGCTATCCTCCCTCCTCTGCTTTCCACAGTGTTGGCATTACAGGTGTCAGCCACTGTGCCCAGCTTTAGATCATTTTATTCTAATGTCTTTTTGTCGGAGAACTTAAAGATGTTAGACGCTATCATTTACCTGTGTTTATATTTAAACATTCAAAAATGTTACTCATAAATTGTACTATGGCCTAAGTTAATTTTGTATGACGTCACTTAGGTTAGACTAGGCAAATTGAAATAACTCTAAATTTCATATTATAGTTATTAAAAATGCCCCCCAAAAAGGCCTCAAATCATTCAGTAGTGTCTGAAACCAATTTATATACTATTCTTTAAGAAGTATCTTTAGGTAGAATATTCTTATAAATTCATTGGAAGAGCTTTCTCAGAGTATTTGTTAATTTAGGTTCACATTTTAAAACATCAATATAACATAGCTGTAGAGTGGAATTTAACCTAGAAACTAAAGACTAAATCTAATCTTAGGATTTTGCCTAGTGTGTAAGTGGTTGACATTTTCCAAGTCAAAATATCAGGTGCCTAATCTGACAAGGAATTTTTATGTTCTTCTGGGGCTCTCTCAATGCTAAAATTGGCATTTCTTGTTCATATCTATTCTGTTAGGTTAGAAAAAAAAGTAAAATTGCCATTTCTGAGACATTTCATGATTATCTGAGGGCAAGAGAATATTTGAAAGCTGGAAAATATGAGAAAGACCAAAAAGTATATATATAGGTTAAGTATCTTGTATACAAAATGATTGGGCCAAAAATCTTTCAGATTTTGGCTTTTTTCAGATTTTGGAATATTTGCAATATTTGCAATAATTATAAAATGTGGAATGGATTTAGATAAATTATAACTGTTACTAAGAGAAAAGGTATACAAAATTTTCATCTGTTGGCATTTTGCCAGAGTAGCCTCAAAAGAACAATATTTTCTGTTCTCAATGTTCTATCAAGACTGATTTAAGGAAAGAAAAGGGAAAAGTAGAAAAATTGAGGATCTGATAGTCCAATTTATTCTCAGTACCAATAACTTGAGGGATAAATTTCTATTGAATAGTTGTGTTCATAAGGTATGATTGAGATAAGCCAGAAGTGTGAGAAATCAATATTTTAAAGTATCCTCGATCCAAAACCAAAATTCTGGCTGGGTGCCGTGAGTCACACCTGTAATCCTAGCTCTCTGGGAGGCTGAGGAGGGAGCGTAGCTGGAGCTCAGGGGTTCAACACCAGCCTGAGCACAGTGAGACCTTGTCTTTACAAAACAGAAACAAGAAAAACAAAAATCCAAAATTCAAGGTGCCCCAATGAACATTTCCTTTGAGTGTCGTGTTGGTGTTCAAAAAGTTTCAGATTTTGGTACATTTTGGATTTCATATTTTTGGATTAGGAATATTCAACTTGTATTCCTATAGGTGTAAATGTTGAAATAGCTTCATGTTGATCTCTCTTTCTCTTTTTCTAAGTAATTTCACTTATTGGCAGTTTTTTTTTTACCTTAATCCATTATATTAAACCTAGTGTTTTACCTCCTTTCACTTCATTTTTAATTGGCACTAAATCCTAAATTTGGAATTTGGAGTTGTTTGTATCCTGTGGAAAGTGGTCAATAATGTTCATGTGATTTTGAAATGATATTGGCAAGCAGTTTTTTAAACTATCAAAAAGTAACTTTATCTTTGAAAAGTAACATTCTGAGGGTGTAGTGAATCCTTTGGGAAGATTCTATCCAATTCTAGCCAAATAAGTTACCAGGCTTAGATATGACAATAAATTATTTAGCATGATTCAACTTAGTATGTAATATCCTTAGCATGATTCAACTTAGTATGTAATTTGCTTAGCATGATTCAACTTAGTGTGTAATTTGATTAGCGTAGTGTCTGGCATGTAGCAAAGGCATGAGTTGCTGGAGTTTGGGGAGTTTTTTGGTTTTTGTGTTTTTTAAAGCATTTTAATAAACGTCTCTAAGGGTAAACAATGCATTTCCCCCTAATCTCCTACAGTCGTGTAACATACATTCTTCCCAAAAGTTGTAGTTTTCAAAATAAATCTAATGAGCACACCTTTAAAATGTTCTGCCTTTCTTCCCAATGTTCACTGAGCATTTTTCCATGAATGCTTTGGTATCAATTCCCAACGTCAATGTACTACAGAGCTTGAATCAAAACAACGAGCAACACTATATTAAATAGTGAGCCTTTGAAAGTAAAATACCAAAGCCCATTCCTTCTTCAAAAACAAGGCTCAAAGTTTGTGTATTAATGATTTCACATTTCACACTGAGATTACACAAAAGGGAATTCTTTTAAGTGGCAGACGGAAATAACTTTACTACCTTTATAACCATCCTATTAGCATGGAGTTTATAATCTGATATTTGTGTTGTCTCTGAGGGGTAAACATGAGTATTTGACTTCTAAATATTAAGCTTTTGTTAGAGAGTTATTCCCCTTTTTAAATTTTATATAATATCTTTTGTTTTACAAAACTAGCTTGACAAAAGTAAGCTAAAGCCAGGAACAAGAGTTGCTTTGGACATGACTACGCTAACTATCATGAGGTGAGTTTCTTATTCTAATTAGTTTACCTTTTATCTTCACAGAGGGAGGGTTTTATCCAAAACATATTCTTGAGATCATTGACATTTTGACACTTTTCCATTTTAACTAGTTTCTAATTAATTTAAACACGTCTTTATAAATCGCTTGCATAAGCAAGTCATTTATATTTATACTTTGTAGGCTGAGAGAAAATATATCTCTTGAAAGAAAATACGTACCTTTTCATTCCAGATATTTGCCAAGAGAGGTGGATCCACTGGTTTACAACATGTCTCATGAGGACCCTGGGAATGTTTCTTATTCTGAGATTGGAGGACTATCAGAACAGATTCGGGAATTAAGAGAGGTTGGTATTGTGTGCTTTTTTTCCTCATAAACAGTACCGTTATACGATGCCTGGAAGGAGAAACAGAATGAAAAATTACTTTCTGTCCAAATAGTAGTTACTGAATATTATGCATTTAATATTCTTGCTAAGGGAAGAATAGCACTGAGTTTCTGGCTATGAAAATTATTAGTGTTTGTTAATTTGGAGATTAATTGGTATTAGAAAAATCCTGCTCTTTTTGTGCCAAAGAAGGGGGCAAAATCTAAGAATAATTGATATAATCTGATACCCTTGCTATTTGTGGTTTGGATTATCATAATAGATTACTTGGGTCAGAGCACATTTGGATAACTTTTGTGATGTAGTTTTTCCCATAACCCCATTAATATTTAGCTTCCTACCCTTATCAGTAAAGTAAGTTACCTGTGCCTTAAATATTTTATTTTGGTAAAGCTGTTTGCTGCTGGCTTTAGGAGTGCTTTAAATCTTTTAAGCTTTTAGGTGAAGAATCAAATCAGAATTGCCTTGTTTCCCAGCACAGATACCTTCTTTACTATTATTGTAAAGCAAATTACATTGTCCTGTTGAATTTCTTCTAATTTAGGCTGGAAATACTTAGGAATAAATGGGAATAGTTGGAATATCTTACATCTCTGATTTAAGCCCTAAAACTCAGGCTTCAGCATATTAATTTTTCTGGAACACTTAAAAATACAGATTACTAGGCTCTCTGAATGGTTTTGATGAAGTAGATTGGGTGTGGGCCCAGGAATTGGCATTTAAACAAATATTTCTGTGATTATAAAATTTGTGAAATTTTTATTTTATTAATATAATACCTGTGGAAGCACTGGCCTAAGTGTAAATAAAAGCCTATTCATACTTTATATTTAATGAAAAGACAACAAAAGAAGTACAGGTGCTTCATAGAACTGTGAAAACTTGCCTTCTACAGTGGTTGCCTACATCAACCATAGAAGCAGAAAGAATCACACACACAGATATGCCAGTACCCTTTTCTGTCTGCAGATACTTTAAAATATTGATTTCTCACACTTCTGGCTTATCTCAATCATACCTTATGAACACAACTATTCAATAGAAATTTATCCCTCAAGTTATTGGTACTGAGAATAAATTGGACTATCAGATCCTCAATTTTTCTACTTTTCCCTTTTCTTTCCTTAAATCAGTCTTGATAGAACATTGAGAACAGAAAATATTGTTCTTTTGAGGCTACTCTGGCAAAATGCCAACAGATGAAAATTTTGTATACCTTTTCTCTTAGTAACAGTTATAATTTATCTAAATCCATTCCACATTTTATAATTATTTTGTGTTATAGTCTCAAATGAAACTAGTATAGCTCTTGAGTTTTTTTAATTGACTATTTTATAGTGTAATTTTCATTGGTATAATTTATATCCAATGCGCATATTATAAGTATGCAATTTAAATATGTTTTGAAAAATTGTACACTTGTGTAACCACCCTAACCAAGCGTGTAGTTTGTTAAAATAAATGTTACTTAAAATTTTTTAGGTTTTTTTTTTTTTTTTTTTTTTTTGAGACAGAGTCTTACTTTGTTGCTTGGGCCAGGGTGCCGAGGTGTTGTCATAGCTCACTGGGCTCAAGTGATCCTCCCACCTCAGCCTCCTGAGTACCTGGGAATACAGATGTGCACCACTACACCTGGCTAATTTTTTAAATATTTTGTAGAGATGGGGTCTCATTTTTCTCAAGCTGGTCTCGAACTCCTGGCCTCAAGTGATCCTCCCTCCTTGGCCTCCCAAGGTGCTAGGCTTACAGGCATGAACCACTGCTCCTGGCCATAATTTTTTAGTTTTAGATCTCAAATCTACCTAAAGAAAAATCTTTAATATAAGTGGTTTTACATAGCATGGAAGTCTGGATCTATTATGAATTATGTGTACACCTATGTTGATATTTGACTTAAGCTATGTGAAAGTACATGAAAAGTCTTTACGAACTTTTTAAGAAACTTGGAACTTCTTTTCTAGGTAATAGAATTACCTCTTACAAATCCAGAATTATTCCAGCGTGTAGGAATAATACCTCCAAAAGGCTGTTTGTTATATGGACCACCAGGTTGGTATTGAATTATTTCTACCCTACCTATTGGAATGAATGGATTTCAGTTGAAACGAAATGAATGAATGAAGGCATAAAAATATAAGATGGAAATTTAATGTGGGAACTACCAACTTCTACTCCATTCAGAGTAAAAATGGGATAGGAGATGTATGTCTACTATTACCTTGGGCGTGCTTAGTGTATTTGTACCTCATGGTATATATATCTTAACAGGCCCATGATTGTAGTGCAGTAGTCCTCAAAATGTGGTGTTCCTGACATGCTTTCATTGAATCTTCAAGGTCAAAATTACTTTCATAATACCACAAGGGTATTTGGCTCTTTCACTGAGCTGGCATCTGTGCTGATGGTGCAAAGCAATGTGGGTAAAACTGTTTGCACCATAGCATGACTCAGTTGTCAGTGGCATAAAACAGTGCTAGTAGTCACTGTGTTCTTGACTGCCACATACTTTTAGTGTAAAAAAAAAAAAAAGGCCACTTTCACTTTAAAATGTCCTTGGTGAAACAATAAAATTATTTTATTAAATTTTTATCATTGGATAATACTTTGTGTGATAAAATGGAAAATACATATAAAGTACTTATGCTGATATTGAATAAGACAGTTGTTAGGAAAAGCACATGTACAATTGCTTGAGTTGCCAGCTGAATTAATTGCTTTTTATGGAATACTATTTTTGTAACAGAATTTTCTGTCATAGTCCATGCTGTTAAGTAGGGTTTGATATATTTTTAAAGTTCTGTATTCAGTGTGACTAAAATAAAATTACAAGGGAGTGAAATATCACCTCACATCTGTTAGAATAGCTACTATCAAAAAGATGAAAGATAAGTGTTGGCAAGGATGTGGGGAAAAGGGAACCCTTCCTTGTACACTGTTAGTGGGGATTTAAATTAGTATAGCCATTTTAGAAGAAAATATGGCAGGTCCTCAAAAAACTAGAAACAGAATTACCATATGATCCAGCAATCCGACTTCTGAGTATGTATCCAAAGGAATTGAAATCAGCATTTCAAAGAGATATCTGCACTCCTATGATTATTGTAGCATTATTCACTATAGCTAATATATGAAAACAACCTAAAGATCAGTGGATGAATGGATAAAGACAATGTACATATACACAATGTAATGCTATTTGGCTTTTAAAAATAAATTAAATTTTGTAATTTGTGATAACAAATTGGATGAATTTAGAAGATATTATGCTAAGTGAAATAAGCCAGGCACAGAAGGACAAATACTGTATAATCTCACTTACATGTAGAATTCAAAAAAGTTGAACTCATTGAAACCTAGAGTAGAATAGTGGTTACCAGAAGCTGGGGGGTGGGAATGGTTGTGGTGGGGAATGGGAGAGGGGCGATATTAGTCAAAGGGTACAAAGTTCACTTTGACAGGGGGAATAAGTGATTTATTGTGTGTGAATAATCTAGTGATTTATTGCACAGCATGGTGTCTATAATTAATAATGTATTAGATATTTCAGAATTACTAAAAGTAGATTTTAAATGTTCTCACCACAAAGTAATGATAAGTATGTGAGGTGATGGACATGTTAATCAGCCTGATTTAATCATTCTACAATATATACATGTATTATAACATTGCATTTTACCCTATAAATGTACACATTTATTTTTTGTCAATTAAAATAAATTCTAGCCAGGTGCAGTGGCTTGAGCCTGTAAATCTCAGCTACCTGGGAGGCTAAGGCAGGAGGATCTCTTGAAGCCAGGAGTTTGGGACCAGCCTGGGCAACATAGCAAGACCCCATCTTTAAAAAATAAGATAAATTTTAAAAAGTAAAATAACAAGCGATATTTTAAATAAAATTTAAAATTTTAATATTGAGAGTAGAAGTGCTTTAGAATTTTAAATGAAAATTCTATGTAGGGCTTGTCCAGTGGTAGTAGGTCATTAGGGCTTATTAACATTACGGTCACTAAAGTTGGTATACAACCCCCCACTACTAAATTTGACTGGCTTACCAAAAAAATAAGAAAATAGTATTTAGGATTTAGCTTTCATGTTGGAGAATTTACTAGCCAAAGAATTACATTCTTAAAAGGCTTTTGAAATTTTGTTTTACTTTTCCATCTAATTAGGACTTCTTTTGTCATCCCTAGGTACAGGAAAAACACTCTTGGCACGAGCTGTTGCTAGCCAGCTGGACTGTAATTTCTTAAAGGTAAAAGAATGATTCTTTTATGATTGTTGAAATTAAATTTTATTTGAATTGTGTTATATTTACCTTAATGTTTTTTCTCAGGTTGTATCTAGTTCTATTGTAGACAAGTACATTGGTGAAAGTGCTCGTTTGATCAGAGAAATGTTTAATTATGCCAGGGACCATCAACCGTGCATCATTTTTATGGATGAAATAGATGCTATTGGTAAGAATAACATATCTTAAAATTTGTTTTTGAAAGTATTAGGAAATTTTTTAAAAATCTAAAAATTTTTCTCTTAAACTGTAATTGTGACATGTATAAGGTAGATAGGACAATGAATTGGATGTTACTTTTAAAGGATTCTTAGAAAATTTAGTTAATTCTAATAAGCTTTGGCATTAACAAAATGAGAAGTGTTACACCAAAATCAATTCTAATTTTGTCAGTATAATTTTTACTATTTTCATTTTAGTATTTTTAACCACAGACACTATTACATTCTGTTTTTTTTTTTTTTAATAGTAGTTATAGAGGAAAAGAGTAATACATGTAAATTTCCAAATCTACTTTTAGGTGGTCGTCGGTTTTCTGAGGGTACTTCAGCTGACAGAGAGATTCAGAGAACTTTAATGGAGGTAATATTTGGTAAAGAGGGTTTATGAAGAAACCAGTGTTTTATTAAATGAAGAACTGAACATTGCATATTTGAAGGTCAAAATAGGTATAATATTTTAAGTGAAGAATTAAATGTGAAATTTGAGAATGTTGACAGGAATGAACATGTTTCTATACCACAATCTCTAGTAAGAAAATGGCTGCTAGAAAATAAGGGTATGTACAAAATTCCATTTGATGTACATCTATACTATTCTGTGTCTTTTGAGACAACCAGCCATTCAGATATTTAAATTGTATATTAACTTCTTATATTATGAATATGATCTTTTGTTTTATTATTCAAAAGATAAATAGTATTTTAAAGTTAGATTTGTAAAGTCTCTTAGAAACCTTAAATTGAGGTGTTTTAAAACAACATAAATATTAGTTTTATTCATGTAACTGATATGTCATCAACTAACACACACTATATTTTAGTCAGGTTAGCTACATTTTAGAGAGTTTGTTGAATGCAGTAAGGTTTTTCACCATTTATTCAAGAAAATTTGAGGAATTGAAGGGAATATACTTGATGTCTTTTAGTATTTCTAGGTATAGTATAATTATTTAAAAAGATATTTTATAGGTATATTATCAAATTTGTAGAAAAATTCCTTTTTTTTTTTTTTTTTGGAGACAGAGTCTCACTCTGTTGCCCAGGCCATGGTGTTAGCCTGGCTCACAGCAACCTCAAACTCCTGGGCTCAAGCAAGCCTACCTACTGCCTCAGCCTCTGGAGTAGCTGGGACTAACGGAGAGTACCACCATGCCCAGCTAATTTTTTCTATTTTTAGTAGTTCCAGGCTAATTTTTCTATTTTTAGTAGAGTGAGGATCTCGATCTTACTCAGGCCTGTCTTGAACTCCAGACTTCAAGCAATCCTCCCACCTCGGCCTCCCAGAGTCCTAGGATTACAGGCATGAGCCACTGCACCCAGCCATGTAGAAAAATCTTTATATCCATTTATTCTAATGTAAATGTTGTCTGACATATCATAAGCACTTCATACATTGGATTTTATTCTTTTTGTTTTAAAAAATAATTCTATGAAAAATATTTTGGGCGTTGGAAATCAGATCCACAGAATTGAGTTTTGTAATTCTAAATGTGATGGAAGCCCTCAGATTTATTAGAATTACTTAGTAGCTATTAAAAGGTACATACATAGCTATAAAAAGGTATATAATCTAGCTTGGAACTTTGAGGATGTAAAGTATATCCCTTTATATTAAGGAGAGAGAAAAGTAGAATTCCGTCAAATGACTCTTCTGAAGGTCACATATCTATCTGTAGGCAAAAATTTCACAATGTTAGGCATATAAAAGGCAGGTGCTTCTTGCTTTTATTTCTTCGTTTCTTAATAAAAGGTGTGTGCTATTTTTTAATGGTTAGAATGTTTTGTAAAAGTGTATCTATGGATTTTTAATATTTGTAGTTACTGAATCAAATGGATGGATTTGATACTCTACATAGAGTTAAAATGATCATGGCTACAAACAGACCAGATACACTGGATCCTGCTTTGCTGCGTCCAGGAAGATTAGATAGAAAAATACGTGAGTTAAGGTTCTTTGTCTGCTATCTATACCCTTTTTCTGTGTCCCCATTTCTCTTTTCACATGTCTCCCCACCCCCTACTTTACTTAAAAATAAAACAAAATTGGACAATAAAATAATGTTTTATTTTCAGATATTGATTTGCCAAATGAACAAGCAAGATTAGACATATTGAAAATCCATGCAGGTCCCATTACAAAACATGGTGAAATAGGTAAGGAAGTAACCTATTTTATATGTATTTACATTTGGTAAATGAAGCAAAACTGTTGGATATTGCTGATGGTCTACTGAATCTGGTTTTAAATTCAGCAAACATAGCAGTTTTAAATTCAGCCAATATTTATTGGGCATCTGCTGTATGCTAGAAACTGTTGTAAGGGCTAGGGACACAGGTGTGGATGAAATAGACAAATTGCTGCCATTAGAGAACTTACTTTCTTATTAGAAATGACAGATGAAGTAAGTAAAATTAAAGTATATTAAATGGTAATAAGTACTACAGAGAAAAATAAAGCAAGAAACGGGGATTAGGAATTGCCAACAGTGGGCATGAGTATGTACATTTTTAAATGAGAGGGTAACCACAGGGAAGTCCTTACCAAGAAGGTGATTTTTAAGCAGTGACCTGAAAAGGTGAAAAAACTAGACATGGATATTGGGGCAAGATCATTTCATGCATGAGGGAGCAGCAAGTTAGAAGGCCCTGAAGCAGGTATGTCCCTGGCACATTCGAGGAACAGAAAAGAGACCAAGGTGTCTGTGGTAGAGTAAGTGGAACAATAGTAGCAGATGAAGTCATAGAGGTAATGGGGACCAGATTGTGTAAAACATTACAGAGGTCACGGTGTAAGAACTTGGGCTTTAACTTTTAGTGATATTGATGCCATTGGAGCATGATGAGCAGAGGAATGACATGATCCTACTTTTTGATATCTTTAACTTTTTATTGTAGAAAATTAGAAACACATAAAAGAAGAGATAAAAGTATAATGAACTTCTGACCCCCATGTACTTGTCCCCCAGCTTCAATAATTATATTATTTTTTAAAAGATTGTACAAAGGCCGGGCGCGGTGGCTCACGCCTATAATCCTAGCTCTCTGGGAGGCCGGGGCGGGCAGATTGCTCGAGGTCAGGAGTTCGAAACCAGCCTGAGCAAGAGCGAGACCCCGTTTCTACTATAAATAGAAAGAAATTAATTGGCCAACTAATATATACAAAAAATTAGCCGGGCATGGTGGCGAATGCCTGTAGTCCCAGCTACTTGGGAGGCTGAGGCAGCAGGATTGCTTGAGTCAGGAGTTTGAGGTTGCTGTGAGCTAGGCTGATGCCACAGCACTCACTCTAACCTGGGCAACAAAGCGAGACTCTGTCTCAAAAAAAAAAAAAAAAAGATTGTACGGAGTACCATGTCCTAAAAATTTACTTATATTAATTTTTATTTCTGTGTAGTTATTAGTATGATATATGTTTAGATTAATTTGAAGGTTTGATTTTTTGGCTTTTTAATTTAATTTTAGTTTTTAATGTGTACATTTAGGAACAATCAAAACAATATATGAAGGAATATTCAGATACTTTTTACTGATGACCATCCTGCTTTAGTGATTATGAATTTTTGCCCAATCTTGTTTCATCTACCTCCTCTTACATTTTCTCTAGATTTTTAAAAAGAAAATCCCAGGCATCATATCATTTTATCTAAATATTTCAGAATTTACTTAAGATTCTTCTGGGTACATACTGAGATTTAAATGTAGAGGGACAAGGATAGAAGCAGGAGAATCAGCTAGGAGATTGTTTCATTAATCCAAGGAAAAGGTGATGGTAACATGGTTAAAGGTGGTAGCAAAGTCTCTCCTCCCACCCCAGCTTTATCGAGGAATAACTGACAAATTCTTTTAAAATAATGAGATTCTGGATATATTTTGAAAGTAGAGAGAGGTACAGGACTTGCTAATCAATTGGATGTGGGGTGTGAACTAAAGGGACAAACCAAGGAAGACTTAGATTTTTGGCCCAAGCAACTGGAAAGATGGAGTTGCCATCAATTAAAATTGAGACAACTAGAAAGGTTAGATTTTAAGGGGAGAATAAGGAATTTGGTTTTGGATATATTAAATTGGAGATAACAATTAAATACCCATGTAAAGATGTTGATTGGTAATTCAATATGTATCTGTAGTCCTTTGGGACAGTCTATGCTGGGAGATATAAATGTAGAAAATAATCAGCATAAAAATGGTTTTTAAAATCTTGCAATTAGATGAGATTTCCAAGTGAGTAAATGTGGATAGTCAAGAGAAGAGAGTCAAAGACTGAGTTTACATAATTCGAACATACTGAATTTTTTTGTAACAAGTCCTCCAAATTTTGGTTATACTTTGCTTAAAATCAGTTGGAAATTGTTAATTTAAATAGTCAATAAATACAGTGCCAAAAACTTACCAAAATAAGTAATTCAAACATTGAGAAGCCGAGATGAGGAAACATTAAAGCAGTCTGAAGTTACAGTCACAGAGGTAGGGGTAAAACCAAGAGTTGACTATATCCTGGAAGATAAATGAAGAAAGTTTCTTAAGGAGGGTCTTCCATGTCAAATGCTATCAATAGGTTAGATAAAAAGAGTTCCAAGAGTAGACTTTTCTATTTAACTCTGTGGAGGTCATTGGTAACCTTGTCAAAAGTAATTTCTTTGGAGTGGTGAGGCAAAAAGCCTATTTCACATGTGTTTCAGAGAGACTGGGAGGAGAGGCATTGAGTTTATACATTTCTTTTAAGGAGTTCTGCAGAAGGTACAGAGAAAAAATGTAAAGGAAATGGAGACAAGAGGATTTTTTTTTTTTTTTTGAGACAGTCTCACTTTGTTGCCCAGGCTAGAGTGAGTGCCATGGCGTCAGCCTAGCTCACAGCAACCTCAAACTCCTGGGCTCAAGCGATCCTCCTGCCTCAGCCTCCGAGTAGCTGGGACTACAGGCACACGCCACCATGCCCAGCTAATTTTTTCTATATATGTTAGTTGGCCAATTTCTTTCTATTTATAGTAGAGACGGGGTCTCGCTCTTGCTCAGGCTGGTTTTGAACTCCTGACCTTGAGCAATCCGCCCTCCTCGGCCTCCCAGAGAGCTAGGATTACAGGCGTGAGCCACCACACCCGGCCGAGACAAGAGGATTTGACAGAGTTTTCTTCAAGAAAATTTACAACACATATTTTTTTTATCCTGCTGGGAATAATGTAGGAGAGAGAGAAATTGTTAATGCCCTTTCCCTGAAGAGGGGCTGGCCCTGTCAGTATACTGCTATATGCATACTTTGATTTTATGAGAATGGAGGAAAGACGGGATATATAGATGCTAATGATGACAACTTCTCAGATAGTGTAAGAACTTGTATAAGTGTTCTTTTAATGCTTCTATTTTATCAGTAAAATTGAATGCAGGTTCAGAGTGAAGATAGGGAAGTATTGTTAGAGAAATGAGAGAGAAGGAGGTATAAAATAGTTATCTGTGGAAATGGAGAGACTGGACCTAGAGTAGAGGCCAGCAAACCATGGCTTGTGAGCCAAATTCTCCCAATCTTCTGTTTTTGTAAACAAAACTTGTTGTAACCCAGCCATGCCCATTTATGTATTTATTGTCTATGGCTGCTTTTCCACCACAACAGCACAGTTGAACATTTTTGACTGGGAACATATGGCCTTCAAAGCATAAAATATTTACCATCTGGCCTTTTATATAAAAGGTTTACTGACCCCTGGACTAGGATAATCTAGTATAATTGCCAGGCAGCTTTAAAAACCCTTTAGAAGTTAATGGTTCAAGATAATTACAAATAGTTGATTATTGGCCTGACGAGGTGGCTCATGCCTATAATCTTAGCGCTCTGGGAGGCCAAGGCAGGAAGATCACTTGAGCTCAGGAGTTTGAGACCAGCCTGAGCCCTGAGCAAGAGTGAGACCCTGTCTCTACTAAAAATAGAAAAAATTAGCTGGGTGTGGAGGCTCAGATCTGTAGTCCCAGCTACTTGGGAGACTGAGGCAGGAGGATAGCTTGAGCCCAGGAGTTTGAGGTTGCTGTGAGGTAGACTGACACCTTGGCACTCTAGCCCAAGCGACAGAGAGAGACTCTGTCTCAAAAAAAAAAGTTGATTATTGTCTCCCACTGTCTCATTGCTCTTATGAAAGAGGTTGAAACTTGAAAAACTAAACTGAACAAAGGATATTACTTTATAGTTTTCTTCCACAAATATGAGGTCCTGCTAGGTGCCAGATACTGTGATAGCCTTGGGAATTGTTGTTTTCAGGAAGCTCACACTGAACTTGAACCTGAGTAAAAGCTAATTAATGAATATGATTTCAAATAGTGATGATATACCCTATATTGCCTGACAAAGAGTATATCATGAGAGTTATTCACACTGTAGTAGCCTATGCTTTCTTATTTCTCTTCCTATTCTGTATCTAATCCATGACTACTACCTTAAATCTGCAGCTCTTCAATTCGTGCCTATCATGTGGGTGGGTAGAGAGATCACTTGTCTATTGCTGTTTTCATAGATCTGATGATACTTTACCACTTGAAGCTTGCACAGAAACCAGAAAAGCTAGCCAGTGCCTACTGTAGCATTTCAAAATTACATGTGATAAAATTATTGCTGATTACCTTTTTGGTATATTTTACATTTGGCTTATATGATTAAAATAAATTCCATTGTTATAATTGGTTTTGAATGTTATAGGTTTATTGAAATTAAAGATTTGGTTACAGTTTTAATAAGAGTCATAGCTTGACAGGTATCTGAAATTCACATGTGCATAGCTGTTTCACTAGGTAAAAATAGGTTAAGATGCTTAAAGATCTTGATGATATTTTCTGATTTTAAAATATCAGAGGTGTGTCTCTTTCTGCTTGGTGCTGGTTTACTTAACAGAAGTCTTAGTTTTGGCTTGTTAATATTGTGGAACGTTAACAGAGGTGATGCCTAGCCAATCAAATTCAAAGCAAGCTCTTCAGTTTAAAGTTTCCATGTGGGCCGGGCGCTGTGGCTCACGCCTGTAATCCTAGCTCTTGGGAGGCCGAGGCGGGCGGATTGCTCAAGGTCAGGAGTTCAAAACCAGCCTGAGCAAAAGCGAGACCCCGTCTCTACTATAAATAGAAAGAAATTAATTGGCCAACTGATATATATATAAAAAATTAGCTGGGCATGGTGGCGCATGCCTGTAGTCCCAGCTACTCGGGAGGCTGAGGCAGAAGGATCACTCAAGCCCAGGAGTTTGAGGTTGCTGTGAGCTAGGCTGACGACACGGCACTCACTCTAGCCTGGACAACAAAGTGAGACTCTGTCTCAAAAAAAAAATAAAAAATAAAAAAAATAAAGTTTCCATGTGGGCATAAAGCAAGATAAGGTCTAATTTTTTTACTGATTTTCAGTATTTATTTTTTTATTTTTTTCTAAACAGATTATGAAGCGATTGTGAAGCTTTCTGATGGCTTTAATGGAGCAGACCTAAGAAATGTTTGTACTGAAGCAGGTAAGGATTTAAAGTACAATTTTATTATTGATTTTAATTTTTTAAATTTGCTTAAACTGTTTTTGTCTAAAAGCAGAACCTGGGCCTTGCAAGGATTTGGTTGTATTCTATTTTTGTGGGAATTGATCTGGGAAGCAGGGGAAAACAGGACAAGAGAGATGGAAAGAGGGAAAGCTGATACAAGGGTGTACCATTGAGATACCTGCTATAGGCAAGAGGGGTTAGATTTTGAAGAGACCTCAGAGAAATATACAGAGTGCCTTCCAAGATTACGCAGTGGAAAGATAGGAGACTGGAGCATTTATTTATTAGCACTCATCTCCCATTGGATAAGATTTGCCTTGGTGGTGTTAACTCCTTTGCAGTTCTGGATACTTTAGGGCAGAATGTAGATTGGCAAGCATGTGATAGAACACTGGCCCCCGAAGTAAGCCTGAGTCTGTACACAACTGTCTACCTGTGGCTGGAATTAGAATGGGCCAGCACTAGAGGTGTCTGCTGCAAATGGAAAGTGTATGTTTTCTGATACTAGTTAGTGAGCAATAAACTTTGAAAAATGGATTTCAAATGAATTATGTGATCATGCAATTTGTGTAAAATGCAGTAGTTTCTAAATACAGTTCTTTCCATGGATTGTGTGAAACTCATTTTTTTTTTTTTTGCTGTGTGATATTAATTTTTTTTTACATCTGCATTGTATGTAAAAATTGTGTGATACTATTTTTATTCTGGTACCAAGTAGCTTTAATACCTTACCTAGAGTTGTTTAGCTTTTTTTTCTTCCATACAGAATCTTAAAATTAAAAAAATAAATTTTTATAGTAGTTTTTATAGTTACTTCATAGGATGTAGTTTTTTTTAAGTATTACAATAAGTGATTTCCTCTTTTCATATCATGTTTAGCCTTATTCTAACATTTCCTGTAAATTCAATAGATAATGTTTAAAGAGGCTGCTTAGGCGTGGTCTCTCAATAGGAGTCTTTTCATGGGTACACTGACTCCGTGTCCATGTCAAAAAGATCTGCAGATCTAGAGACTCTGTCATTACAAATCAGGGTAAATCATGCTCACAGAGGCTTATTGATAAACAAAACTATTAAAACATAAACTTGCCATATAGCTTGAACTACTTGGAGTAATTTATGTCATGCTCTTTCCAAAATCAAAACCAGACCATATTGTTATCAGAAGATTGCTTTTGTGAAATTGAAATCCAAACAAAAGCAGTGCTGTGATCTTAAAGACTGATGATAATCATATTATGATATCCTTTTTTGCCCACATATTTTAAAAAATTATCTTATTTCCAATAAAGAGCTATAACTTCTGTGTGGATTAAAATTTTAGCTTTTTAACTGGGTGGGATATTCACATCTGGAGACATACTGATATTCTTGTTTGGTTTTCTTTGTATTAGACTTCAACTCTTTTTTGTTAACATATCTTTCTGTAAGTTAAAATACACTTGATTCAACTATGGTTGCCCTTTGTATTCAGGTACTGACATTGTCTTCCTTTTTGGATTAGAGTGCACCTCTTTTGCAGATTTACACCTTCAATAAACAGTGATTTGGAAATAGTCACACACACAAGGTTTACAAAAATAATTTACCTAGTTTAGCTGTAGCTTTCTAAACAAGTTTTGAAATTTCATTGTTAAAAAATCAGTCATTTCCACTCACCTGACTTTTGGGACAGCATAGAAGGTTTCCTTATATAAAAATCTAGAAAGGAAGTATAGGAAGTAACCCTTGAAATCTTCTATTCCAACTCCCTCATTTTATGTAAGTGAAGATTCAGTACAAGCAGATCCTCAATGGAAATATTAGAATTTGTGTAATATTATTATTATAGGTAGTGATACTTTTCCATCTTAGGTTTACCATGAATTAGGATTGTCTCAAAATCTGGGACCTATATCCATGACATAGCTAATGTTAAAAAGAAAAAACTTCAAACACCTTTTATCCCTTTGTCAAATAGTAGTTGACAAGTAACTTGTCAACAATTTTAAAGAAAAAATTGAGTTGTGATACTTGAATATGAATCTCATAAAAATATTAATTCATACATAAATAAGGTAAATTTTAATACATGAATAATGGCTCTGATTTTTGTTAAAGCCCACTGTTGTCTTTCTACAATTTCCTATTCTCTAAGCCTTTGATTATTAACAAAGAACAGCTTTCAAACTTACTGGAGGTCTTTTGTTTTTCCCATAAATGTGCTTCCTTTTTCTAAGGAATTGCTGCCTATAGTGTTAAAAAACTACCACTTAAAATGTGTATGTGTTATTGATAGTTTTCATTTCCTTTGGTTTTTGATTTTTGTTTTTATTAAGAGTGACCATTAGCTATAAGGACTATGAAGCCATATTTAAAATATTCAGGTAATTGTCTCATATGAAAATAGTCATCATAGCTATGGGAATTAATTGAACAAAGAGTGGTTTTTAACAAATTAGAACTGCTGGCTCAGAAGTAAATCTAGGCTTCTTCACATTTACTCCATAGAATTATATTATTTTGTTTTCTTATAATGAACATATCATTCACATGTGATATTTAGCAATCATGTTGTTTTATTCTCCATAGGTATGTTTGCGATTCGTGCTGATCATGATTTTGTAGTACAGGAAGACTTCATGAAAGCAGTCAGAAAAGTGGCTGATTCTAAGAAACTAGAGTCTAAATTGGACTACAAACCTGTGTAATTTACTGTAAGGTTTTTGATGGCTGCATGACAGACATTGATTGGCTTACTGTAAAAATAAAGTTAAAGAAAATAATGTATGTATTGGCATTGATCTCATTAAAAGTGTATGAATAAAAATATGTATGAGTAACATAAAAATTAGTAATTCAGTAATTCAACTCTTAAGATTGGTACAGAAGAAATTTGTATATTTGTTAATGTTGCATTTATTGCAGCAGAAGTTACAAAAGAAGAGTGTGTTGAAGCTTTTCGTATTTGCTGTGTGAGCATTTTGTAAAACATTGAAAATGGTTTGAGATGGTAGTATAAGAAATCATTTCTTATGACTTATTTTATATCATTTGTTTTCCTCATCCTAAAAAGTTGAATAAAATCTGTTTGATTCAGTTCTCCTACATATATTCTTGTCTTTTCTAAGAGTACATTTACTATGGTCCTCTAGGTTCTTCAATAAGTAAACTATTTGATGACCCAGATGAAGTTGTATTTAGATAGGTTTTTGGATTTTATTTTAAAATAGTACACACACTAGTGTTCATAAAATCATCTTGTTATACATAACACAGATGCGTTGGGTATGTCTATATATATTCTTCCTTCCAGAAACTATTTTTATATTCTTAACTGTTACTACATGATTTGATAGCTAATTGGAAAAGATACATGCACATCCATAACTTTTTCTAGATTATTTTAAAAAGTAATATTTACTCATAAATATGACTCGGTTTTCTTGATTTATGTGAGATAATAGGTCCCTTTGGAGAATGTTGATGTCTGGACCCTCTTCCAGAAAAAATTCTCACAACACAATTTTGCATATACTACAATTTCAGGAGATTTATTATTTCCCAAGCTCATACACAAACTATATAGGTACCTGGCTAACGGTGTATGATATAGGGGATGTTAATGTCAGAAATTTTCAAAACAAAATATCTGTTACCTATACACAATTCTTTCTCATGTGATGTGGCAAAAATAGCTTTAACAAATTATGTAAGGGAATCATCATTGGGCATCAATTAAGATTATTTTATTAAAGGCACTGTTAAAAAACACTCAACTTCAGTTTTATAAACCTAAAGAACCAAAAATATATGAACTGGTTAATTACACAATCATTCTTCAAATTAAAAACTTACTAGAGTAATTAATGCGCTTTTTTGTAATTTTAAAAGGTGAAAAACAAAATAGTTTTAGAGAAAATGCAGCACTTAAGTTGACCATCTAATATTATTAAAACAGTTCTATGTGTGGGCAATGCATTGTGTAATATGACAATATGAAAAAGAATGTAGGGGTAGGTCTAAATCAGATATGTGATCCTTTCACTTTTATCCATTGTAATTTGCATTTAATGGGTGACCATCTTGCCTTTTACTTTTACGCCGTTAGTACTTTAAAAAATCAGTTTGGTGTACAAACCTTTTCAGTGTGGGTTCTTACATTCCTAAGCTTGAGTTTCCTCATCTGTTTAAAAACAAAAAAGGGTAATAGTTTTCTTTCTAGGCCCAGAGAGTCTATTCCTAACTTTTATTAACAATGTAGTATTAACTCCCTTTAAAAGACACGGAAAGCCACGTAGTGTAATATTATGTAGAAATATTAATAAACTCAATTAACGTGAGACACCTTATGGTATCGGCTACAATTTATTGAGAGTGAGGTATTAGTTTCTCATCTGATGACTTTTGAAATTTTTTCTTGGGATTTTCTAGTTAATCTAAATTTAGTTGTCATATTTCCCAGTATTCTTAAAATATCTTTAAGAATTTTTAAAGTACTGAACTGTTATTTTATGTGTAGCACAACGTGATTTTAAACAGAACTCTTCATTTATTACTCTTTTGGTTATAACCTCACCACACATCGCGCAGAATTCTGAGAGGGGAGAAACTACAGCTTTCTTTTCGGATGCCAGTTTCTGGCGGGTAAGGTGTTTTGCCCGTTTGTTCTCGGACTAAAAGGATCTACATCCTCTCTGGAAAGCGCGGAGCTGCCTTTCCCAGGCCCTTTCCTGGTTCACCCCCAACGCAGCCCCTCCTCCTCCTCTCCGGGCGAGCTCCGGCCGAGGCGCCTCCGAGGCCCCGCCCCCCGCGTCTGCGCTCTCGTGAAGGGGCGGAGCAGGGCGGCGGCGCGCTGACACCTGGCGGCGGCGGAGGGCGGGCCGAAGGCGAGCGTGGGCTGGGATTGGCTGGGGCGGCGTGGGTGAAGGGGGTGGGAAGAAGGAGGGGAGACGGTTGTAAGGCTCGTGCTTGTGCCGGATCCTGGGCTGCCTGGGGGGCGCGGAGACTCAGGGGGAGGAGACGGCAGCGGCATGGCGGCCGGGTGTAAGACTCCCAGCCCTCCTCTTCCCCCCTGTCGCCGTCGCCGCCACTGGGGTCTCTGGGACCCTCTAGTCTGCGTGTGTTAGTTGTAAGCCCGGCGCCCGTTTGTCAACCCTCTGCTCCACCGGCCCTCCTTCCTTTTACCGCCACTGCCAGCCCGAGGGTCGAGCCGGCGGGATAACATCTTCCCACCCCACCCACCAGCCTGCGGGCCGGGACCATGGAGGACGTGAAGCTGGAGTTCCCTTCCCTTCCACAGTGCAAAGAAGACGCTGAGGTGAGTGTGTCCCATGACTGCCACGCACAGGCCTCCCCTTGTGGCTCCGGCCGAGGGGCGACCCCAGGCCCCAACCGTCGCAGCCTCCAGCTGCATAGGAGCCCTGCCTCCTGAGGGCATCCCGGGACCTCTGGGGCAGAGCGGTCGCCTCTGAGTTTGAGTTCCTCAGGCGGGGGGGCAGGGGTTGGTATACTGAAATCTGTTCAGATGAGAAAAAGCTATCCCTTAACCTCTAGTCTCGGCATCTAGGACTGACTTGGAGTAAAGTTCCCCTTTTGTTGCCAAAACAATACGAGGGTAAAGTTGTTTTTATCTCAGTTTGAGGAATATCTTTGGTGTCAACAATTCACTTGTGGAACTCACGGCCCCACATGTGGAATAGACCTAGGGTCTGAAGTTTGTTTGGAAGTGCACCTTCGAAAAGTTCTCCGAAGTTTTTTGTTTCTTTTTAGGCAAAGCTATGACCAGGAGAATAAAATGTCTCAAAGCTAACTCATTTGAATCTGAAAACTTTAATCAAAAATCTTGCCCTTTGAAGGAATCTTAGTATTGAGACTAAAATTCTTTATACTTTGGTCTCCTGATTTCTAATTCGGTGCTCTTTTACTCCACCTTATTTCTCTGCCTAACGTTTCTATTGGGATTTTTTTTTTCATCTATTGCTAGTTTAAAATAGTTTATAGTATTGCAGACTACTAAATTAGAGTCTTCTGGAGGCTAAATTAGTACCAGGACGAGGATACTCAGTAATGCTTTAGAAGGATCAAGAAAGAAAGAAAGCTAACATTTATCGTTTTAAATATCTTAATTGGGAAGATAAAGCCTTAATTTTGGGAGACTACTTTATTCCAAATATTCATTCTATTGAATGCCTTCGTTGGGGTTCACATTTTTAAAAAAATTCCTATTTATTTTGAGACAGGGTCTTCATCTGACCCCCAGGCTATAGTGCAGTTTCCTGATCATAGCTCACTGCAGCCTCAAACTCTTGAGCTGAAGCAATCTTCCCGCCTCAGCCTTTCAGATAGCTGGACAACAGGTGCATTCCATGCTGCAATAATTTTTAAAAATTTTTGAAGAAACGAGATCTCACTGTGTTGCCCAGGCCTCAAGCAATCCTTCCAATTTAGCCTCCCAGAGTGCTGGGATTACAGGTGTTGAGTCACTGTCCTGGACCACAGTTTTAGTTGAAAGGCTCTCTTGATTGTCGTAGTGATGCTTGAAATTGGATATGTTTTAAGAATAGACTCTTAAATAAGAAAACAGGTTGTATTTATTCTAGTTAGGAAAATGAGTTTGCACTTTAACATACAATAATGTGAATGAAGTGGGGTATGCTTTTATATCCTCAAAGTGATTCACTAATGTCAGCACCACAAGCAACCTTAGAAATAATGTAGAGCATTCCCACATTCCAGGTGAAGAAATTGTACCTTAGAATAAGTTATATGCTGAGGTAACACAGTAGCACAAAACCTGGGAGAACCTTGGCCTCCTGATGCCTAATTCTTTTCTGGCCTGTTCTTAAAAGTTCTGGTTTAAAATTTTTTCAGACTTTACATTTAATCTTTTATTGTGTATATAATTTTGTATGTCTTATCCTTGCAAAAATTATAAATTCTTGCTGGGTGTATAGCTGTCATCTTTTCCTTGTGGGACTGTTGAAAGTACATTCTGTTTCTCTACGGTGCCAGATGTGTGTGGGTTTTTCCCCACGTACCAAGCAATTCTCTAGCAGCCACCAGCTGGGTGTCCTATAATTCAGTTAAATTCAATCCTGACGTTCATCTACCTGAATTTAAGAGTTAGATACCACAGGTTCATGGTTCAGTCCCGCAAGACTGCCCCTCACTTCAAATGCCAATCACAAGTAGTAGCTTGTCACCTATACTTCTGACCCACTGGTTGTAAATCAGGGTTCCCACTACCCCCTCCTTAGGTTCAGCTAATTTGCTAGGATGGCCCACAGGACTCAGGGAAATACATGTACCGGTTTATTATAAAGAATATTACAAAAGATGCAGATGAACAGAAGGAAGAGATGAATAGGACATGGTATGGAGGAAGGGGCATACCACCATTCTGGCACTCTAGGAATTCAGCAATCAGGGAAATTCATCAAGTCTTGCTGAAGAGTTTCTGAGCTTAATCTCCAACCCCTCCCACCCCACCGTGCTTTCTACAGAGGTCAGTGGGTACATCAAACTGAAAGTTCCAACCCTCCAATCACATGGTCATCTTGGTGACTGGCCCTACCCTTTATTAGTATAAAGTCATTTATGCTCAAAAGTGGCTGATATAAATAACAAAAGACACCCCTATTACAGGAAATTCCAAGGGTTTTAGAGGACAGTGACAGAAACTGGGGCCAAAAACATATATACATTTCACATTATATCACAGGGACAGAAGTAATGCTTAAAGCCTAATTGATAGTGATGCAAGTATTGTCTACTGAAAGCCAGTTCATTCTGTATTTCAGAGCATTGGATGTTTGGTCTATTTTGGTTACATGTAACAAAACCAGCTCAGACTAGCTTAAGCATGAAAAAAAAAAAAGAACTAGAACTAAGTAAATCCTGAAAAAAAAAGAACTAGAACTAAGTAAATCCTGAAAAGTAGTGGTGCAACTAGTCTCAAGGACTTGACTAGACTCAGGTATTATAATGCATCAGAACTGCCTGTCATAAGTACTTGTCTCTACTTTCTCTCAGGGTCTCTGCTTTGTCTCTGGCTTCTCCAGGATTTGGAGCTTGGCTGTCAGCTGCTCTGGGGTCACACCCTTGTAGAGCTTGCTTACCAAGGAATAAAAGCACCCCTCTCCTAGCTTCAGTATTTAAAATCTAGGGGATTGGCCTATTTTAGGTCATGTGACCACACTTTAGAACAGTCACTGTAGCCAGGAAGCAGTGAATACAATGAGGAGCCCAGTCAAGGTCATATCCCTAATTCCTTGGCTTGAGAGGTGAAGTTTATCATTGATAGCCCTCCCACTAAAACCTGGGAGCATTTCCACAGATAGAGGGTGCTTTCTGGATAGATAAAATTCTAAATAGGGGCCACATAAATAAAGTATTAAATAGGAGCATGCCATAACTCATAATGAACTGACTAATAAAATAGAATGTTAATTTTCTAATTTCCAGTGAGATATAGAAAGTATCAAATGGTCTTAATGTAGTTAGGGTGATTGACCAGCATTGTTTCTTCCACACAAGAAATACTACATGGAAAGACAAATTATAGTCCAAATCTTGCTTTAGTAAAAATGGAATTCAAGTAGATTTTAGTGAATGCTTTTAATGATTAATATAATCAGGGTATGATAGTTTGATGATCCTATCACCTCTATAGGAATGTTACTTCCAACTTTCTTGAAATACTAGTCAGAGCATTCTTCATATAGGAGAGTGCTAACAAAAATTTAGTGCAGATCAGTCAGTTTGCAAAAAGATTGTCATTCCTTTGTTTAAAAGTTTTCCATGATTTCCGATTGTTGTCAGGATGACATTCAAACCCTTACCATCATCTCGAAGGTCCTGTGTTATCTGGCATCTGTCTACTTCTCTAACTTCATTGTGAGCTACTCTTCTCCTAGCTCATTCTTCTGTAAGCCGTATCCATATTCATCTTCTTTCAGTTCCTAGAATGCTTTAATTTCCCCCCTACTTCAGGGCCTTTGCATTTGCTTTTTTCCCCAGCCATGGCTGCCAGCATTCTCCTTGCACTAACCTAATTAATGATTTACTCTTGGGTTAGATCTCACTTTAGGCAAAATTTCTTCAGAGAAGCTTTCCCTGATTTTGCCAACTCTTCCTGCTCCTCTCCTTGTCTTCCAGACTAGTTCAGTTCACCAGGTACTGTAGCACTTGGTACTTTTATACCTACCTTTATAATGGTTATCATACTTACAATTTTTGGTCATTGTTTATTTTCCATTGAACCTTTGGCAAGGAACTTAGCCACCAGTTAATTCCTGACTTATTTGCCACTGTTACATTTATTTAACATAGTGTCTGGAATATACCATAAACTTAACAAATGTTTGTTCAATTAGTGAAAGAGTCTTGATTGGTTTTATTTGTGCCAAGGTAACAGTTTTTTCGTTGTGAGGAAGTAAAAAAGAACAACTTAGAGTATCAGTTTTTAAGCAGATTAGTTGTATAGCTAGGAGTATTTTATAATTCAAAAATTAATCTTTTATCTTCTCTTCTGATAGAAAGTGAAATGTAATTTCTTTCAATTGCAGTTTAGCAACTTAAATGTTACCCTTTCCACTTTCCTTTTTCTTTTGATTCTCATAGTACAGAATTAAAAATAAGAATGACTTAATATCTCTGATGATCCTTCTCCGAGATCCTTTATTTAGAATGGTGCTTTTTAAGCCTGACCATAGAGTGGAATCACCCAAGGAGCTTTTAAAAAATACCCATGCCTGGGCTTTACTGGTGCAGATTCTGTTTTAATTTGTCTGAATGAAGCCTGGTGTTGAATGGAGCCAGACAATTCTAATGCACAGCCAGGTTTAAAAGTGAGTAATTTAGAAGTATCTTACTTGGATGCGCTTCTGCTTCTCCATTCCCCTGACCTCCTAGCCCTCTCTTTTTATTTGAGTGAAAAAAATCTCCTTTCCTCCTTTGGTTTAAGCAAAGGTTGAGCTAGGTATGAGAACTAAAGGAAAAAGACTTACTGACAGAGAAACTCTAATATTAATTTTTCTATTTTGTGAATTGTTTCAGCTCGGGTATACTATTCTTATGATTCCCCCCCTCAGCTCTCTGCCTGTATAAAATTTGTATTCTAAGTGTTGTATATATAGGATTGAGTACTATCCAAGGTTTCAGAGGTCCACTGAGCATCTTGGAACATATCTCCCATGGATAATTGGGAACTACTGTATTTCTAAAAGTTAATGTTTCAATCCACCTGATCTGTCTAATGATAAAAATTTTTTATTTTATCTAATGGTTACAGTATGCCCTTCATTGATGCATTTATTT